GAAGGAAGTTTGATAGTTGCTATTGTGTGCTTGTATGTCAGCACTGTCTTCTGAATCCATGTAATAATGTTGACTCTGGCTAGATGCTGCCCCAGGCTTTAAATGTAGGAGTTCAAGACGGCCATCAATGAGCTCCATTTGACATGGTATTTTATTTTAAAAACTTAAATATCAAAACCAAGTTATATTGTTAATACTTAAAATACATTGGAGTTTGACACACTTGAATGAGAATTTTGAATTTTGTGCATGTACAAACTATTTTTTGAGTGTAAAACTATGCCACTGTGGTCAACTGATCATTTTTTGAGCCTTAGTGACCTCATCTGTAAAGCACAGATAATAACTATGCTTACGTGAGAAATTACTATGAGAATAAAAATGTAAAGTGCTGCTTCACCTGAAGAACCATGGTATTGTGAAAGTACCCCTGCATTTGCAACTGTTCTGTGGGACTTCAAGCCATTGAATAAGTCACCCAAGTTCTGGGAGTCCATGTTTCTGGCCTACATGTGAGAATAATACTGCTGTAGGGCTGTGTCTAGAGCTACATCAGATACTGGACCTCTGAGGACTAGAACAGCACCCGGCACAGAGCACATGCTCAGTTAGTAAGTATAGTTCCATCTGTTTACATGCATTCATATTTTAATTTCTTCATTTTTGGTGTTTATATATAAACACTGATTCCATAAAGTCAGTACAGAAGTAAACTTTTCTGAAGTTAATGAAAATGAACATAAATCAGGAATTTGGTGGGTAAGACATCTTTGCAGACCTCTCAGTTTATCCAAGATTTTATAGATATGAGTTAAGAATTCTAACCCCAAAGGTATTTTTCTCTGTCCATTCTAAACCTATGACAACCTTCCCTAGGCTAGGCAGCTTATAAACAATAGAAATTTGTTTTTCACAGTCCTGGAAGTGACGAAGTCCAAGGTTACTCTCCTAGATACTTAGTGAAGGTCTACTTCTTGGCTAATACATGGAACACAGGTGAGGAACAAAAAGCTTTTATAAGGGCCCTGTTCTTTTCATGATCCAACCATCACCCAAGGCCCTACTTCCTAATGGCAGTACATCGATCTTTAGTAAGAGAATTTTGGTGAGGGGACACAAATACTTAGTCTGTAAGAGGGTCAGAAATGAGACTGAGCAAATGATGTACCTAAAAGGCATAAACCTACAATCAGAGTGACAAACTTAGGAATGCTGGTGATTCTGAGTGTACAGAAGAGCATGGCTTCTGGAATTTGCTAATCTAGAGTAATGAATACATTGAGGTCATGTCTAACCAGGGAAACGGCATTCTCCACAAGCAAGTGATACCCGCTGTGTAATTTCCCATATTGGCATCCTAAGACATCAAAGAGTCACACTTCCTAAAGTATTTCCTACTATTTCTCAGGTCCTTCCCTTACAGAATTTCCCCTTAAGTATAAAGTAATTTGGCTTAATTCTTCAGTTGGGAATAGGTAATTGCAGCTCTTGGAGGTGAGTAAAGCATGTTTCTCTGTGGGTTTATGTAACAATATGATCGTAATGGTTCTTGGGGGAAAGGGGGTGGCATTAAAGAACACACGTGCAGCCTTTCTGCAGCACTCACAGAAGCTTTCCCTAAATAAAAGCATGGACAATGGTTTCCTCCAGATGTATATACAAGGGAACTAGAAGTAGGCAGATTTCTTGAAAGATAACTTTTTTCTTTTGGCTTTGTTTTAACTTACATGTTTTCATTTTATTTATTGTTTTCTTCTAAGCCAAGAGAGAAAAGTCATAGCTTCAGATCTATGACACAAGAAAGTCTGGTGACTTAGGAGGCAATACCCAAACTTCAGGTATAACAGTGTACCTGTGCTCTCAACCATTGAAACATGGTAGAAAACAGTATTTCTTCAAAAAGAGAAGGGTGAACTACAAAATGTACTGGGCTTGGGGTCAAGAACCTTGATTAAACTGGCAGACTGTGCTCCCTCTTTTGCCACATGACATTCTTTGTCTGTAAAAATGGAGACACTAGTGTCCACCACAGTAGTTTTTGTTAGAACTAAAGGAGACGAGGTACACATAAACCCTAGGGTGACTTCTGGTGAAACAGCAAGTATCTGCAGGTTAGCCTTTACATTTTCAGTTTCTTGTAAGAAACAGGGAGCTTTTCCAACATGATACAGATTTTTGAAGCTTGTCCTCTCATCTTCATGTTTAAAAGGAGTACTAAAAAGTACCAATAAATTCAATGAGAAAAAGGAATACTCAGGCTTGGGTACTAAGCAATACCAAAGTCCCTTTGTTCAACTGAACAGAGGCATCATGTCAACTGATGCTGTGTATTCCGATATTGAAAGGCAACGTCCATTAGCACCCCCATTTATCAGATGAGGAAACAGTGAGGTCCTAGGCTGAAATAATTCCACCAGTGACCTAGTTAGGAAGTAGTGAGATCCGGTCAGAATCCAGATCTACCAGAACTCAGTGGTAACAAGCTTATCAGCTGCTATTTTCAGCCCACTGAATTCTTAGCTGAGTGGCATTATCTATCCATATATATAATATATATATATATATACAATATATATATAATTCATATTTTATATTCATGTTCTATTCACATATTTTGTTGATCGATATCTTATACTGATACACACTAAATAAAATATAGTATATTAATAATATCAAATCCTCACTCCTGAATTATTCTAAGCATCTTTTCCACAGTAGAGCTTAAAGTTATTTGAAATTCATGCCTTCTGTTAAGGAGATTACTACCACACTTTGTTCATCAAACACTTCATATCCACCATAAATTTATGGTGCTATGGATGTGTGTGAGGTATCTTCAAAAACATTAGAAGGATAAAGTCCCTTACATAGACTCATGATCACTGGCATTTTCTTATTAGACCAAGCTGTCTGAACTGGGCAAACATGTCCATTTAACTCAGTTCCCACTGCCTGTCGCACTGAGCTAGAAGTTGTTTAGGGACTGTCCTGTCCACCTCTGTCTCATATGCCAGCAAATGGCATGGGAGGACTGGAGGTTAACAGGGCAGCTCAGCAGTGGGAGAACAGCAGCCGCAGAAGTAGAAATAGCCATGACCACAGGCGTCCCAGGAGCAGCCCTGGGTGCTCCCAATGAGCTGCAGACAGGGCTGTGGGCGTTACCCACATTATTTCACTTTGATCTCACAGAAATCTGTAAAAACTTCATGTTATTATTTTTATCCTCTTTTATTAAGAGACAGACAGGCTAGATAATTTCTTTAACATCACTTATCCAACAAGTAATGGCATTGCCATGTTTGCAGCATGTGCACTGAGATATGCAGCATCAGTATACAAAACACAAGTGGAATACGAAATGTGCACTGCATATTAAAAGTATCGTCGCACTGGATAGTTTTGTCATACATTAACTTGGAGAGCGAATTTTTCTGATATGTGCAATATCACTTAAGAAAGGCAGATTTAAAATATAAGACACGGAAATCTTGCCAATAACTGTGAAATAACCTTCTTTGAACATTTAGTAAGGATCAGCAAACTATGATTCATGGGCCTAATCCAGCCAACTGTTCATGATTTTAAGTTTTATTAAAACACAGTCTCTCCTCTTCATTTATATGTTGTCCATGGGTGCTTTCAATGTCACAGATAAATCATTCCAAAAGAGACTGTATTGGCTTTAAAAGCAAAAATACTTATTATCTATATCTTTACAGGGAAAAAAAAAGTCTGTGCTGACTCCTGAACTAACACATCAGCAGTTCAGAGGATAGACCTACATACACCACCATAGTCCAGCCTTCTGGCTGCCGCTCAGCGGTAACTCATACGCCACACTTTGGGTTTACCATTACTTGCTTATTCAAAGAGACTTGTGCCAATATGTACATGCATTCACAAGCAATATTCATGCATTTGATAATGAAATGTTTAGTACATTAAAATATATTTGCATTGCTTATATGTTTAACATTTATATACTTAGTAATATGTATATAGTTTTGATTGTCTTTTAAAGAATATTTTTGATTGAAGAATACACATAAAAAAACACAAGCAAAAGCCCACCGAAAGTGGTACTAGTACTACTAGCATAGCTGTGGTTATAGCAGAGAAATTACCCTTATAAAAAAGCATTATCCATTTAATATGCAAGACATTACTTTTAGGCATCCAGAACCACCTTCATGTACCTCCCCAATCAGTAAGCTCCCCTCAAAGGCCACTGTGTATGCTTAAATTTCTGTGTCCTACCAATTTTTCATGCTTGAGTTAAAAAGTAATAGATATAGGGTAAAGGGGGTGAAGGGAGTGCAGGGGCATGAGGAAAAAATAAGAATCAAGACATATCACATAACGGTACAAGATTCCAATGATAAATGTAACTGCATTGTTTGCTTTAAATGTACCAAAAAGCTTAAAGGAAAAAAAACTAATAAAATTAATAAATAAATTAATAAATTTTCACTACAATGGTAAATTTAACAGTGTATCCATAAAGTTCAATCATTTATGCGTATGTGTAAACACATATATATATATATATATATATATATATATACACACACACACTTACACAAATATGTATAAATGCAAACAAACGTGCATGTATGTGTAACTTATGCATTGTATCTAGAATTATATTTTCTGTCAGCATTTCATAACTTTTATTATCACCAATCATGTTCTTTATCATAATTGTTTTCTTTTTGTTTTGTACTTCCCTGACGTGTCTGCTTGTCATTTTTTTCAATTACCCCAGTCTTGAACTTAAATGTGTGTACATTTAAATATTAGAAAGTTGAATTTTAAAACTTTTTTAGCATTTTAAATCAAGCTGTCTCAACTTGTCGTTTTCTTTCTTTGACTATGCTATTTCTTCTATCTCCATTTGTTTTTCTCTTTTCTTGCAACTCACTGGTGTACTAGTCAGCTTTCCTACTTATGGAACACAACACGATCCCCCACACTTAAAGGAGAGATTTAATTCAGCTCACAGTTTCAGGAGACTCAGTCACTGGGCTCGAAGGCAGGAACTTCATGGCAGAAGGGCATGGTACAGACAGCTTCTCAGTTCAGAGCATCTGGGAAGCACAGCAGGGGAACAGTGCCAGTGAGGAATGGGCAAAAGACCAGATACAGTACACAAATCCATGCCTCCATGACCCACACACATACAACTGAGTGAGATCTACTAATCTGCTATGTATCTCTTTGTCCTTTGAAGTTGACCTATCACGTATCAGGATTACAAGTCACCCCTTGTCAACTTCATACCCAAACACATCTCATGAAACCACACTTCAAGTCCCAACACAAAAAATAGCAAGTTGATAATTTCACCTATGAGTACAATGATCCTTTCCCCAAAGTCTCAGCAGTTTCTACATTTTCCAAAACTCTAAGCCAAAATTGCATTGGATACTCCATGCAAACACTTACCAGGAACCTCAGTAAATATCAAAAGAACAAAACAAGTTACATATTTCCAAGGTACAATGGCACAGAGCAAAGCTCTCCATTCTCATAAAAGAGAACTAGACCAAAGCATGACTGTGAAACCCAAAAGGGAAAATATTAAATCCTGAGGTTGCATATCTGGTGTCTGTGTCATGCTTTTAACTTTGTACCATGAATGTTTAACACAGAACTCAAAGTTAATGAACAGAACAATAGCAACAACAACAAAACCTTTTAGTCACAACAATCCATTCTATTTTTTAAATTATTGGTCTATAAAACTGATTGCTATTATTTTTGCCTACAATTATATTTTGAAGTCCACTTTCAAAAAGAATTGCACTTTTGTTCACTTTTCAGGGTTCAGTAGTAATAAAGATGGGAATTTCATTATTTTACTTCCTTTTATAATTTTCAGCCATCATTGCAGACACTGGCACTCAGAAGTACTCAAATAAATGCTCTCATAATGTGAAAAATAGCTGTCTTATAACCATTCTGAGATTTCACAGAATATGAATAAGGCTCAGACAAGACAGTATTATAACCATATTCAGAATAAGACAAAAGCAAAGTCACACTGTAATCACAAGAGACATTAAATTCTGCCTCCTCTGTTGGATGGGCTGATTCAGTTGTTTTTATCTTCCTGCTTTCTATGTAAAATACATTAATATATCCAATTACCAAACTGTCCATGCTTTTTGAAGAGCCTCTAGTGGAGAACCAGCCTGTTTCCTCAACACCTTCTGAGAAAGGCCTAATCCTGTAAGAAGCCCCTCTTGGTCCTCTGGCCCCTTCCCAAGACAACCATGGTTACTGAGGAAGTTGTTCTACCAGAGTATAGCAAACTAAATCACACTCTTCTGCCATGTGTTTTGGGTAGTATTTGGCTAGTGGATTCAACCACTTTGCAATTATTCTTAGCAATGATAAGAATATGTTGTAATGTCTTTCATTCCAATTTAACAATATTTCTAGAATAGTCAGTCTACTTTTATAACCAGAAAAAGCAAGTTGTTTTACTAAAACTAACTTTTGAGGATAGGGTTTTAGAAGTAATACATGCAATAGAGATAGTCTGAGCCTTAAAAATAGTAATGTATGCTTTACTAATGGAAAAGGTAGTGTAGAAAAAACATCAGAAGAAAAATGTGGTATAGTAGACTTCCATATACTTACCCCATTTGTGTAATTTATCATTACTTAATTTTAATTTCTCCACTTACACACTGGACATATTAAAATCTATGAGCTGATCTTTTAGTTTTACTGAACAAAGTACATAGGCGTATACATGACTTATAGCTTATTTATACACATTTGTAAATGTACCTATGGAGATGTAACACATGTGCGTTGGCATTACTTTTCATACTTTACTGCATACTAAAATTACCTAGGAATTCTTTTCTGCTCATGGGGGAATTTCTAAAAATTGCAATGCTTACATCAATTTAAGTAGTATTTTGAGAGTGACTGCAAGGGTTATTATTCTTGAAAACATGTCAGATGATTCCAGGGTGCAGCGACTTTAAGAAGTGGATTAGAGTTGTGCTTTTCAAAACTTAAAACCTCATACAAATCACTTTTGATCTTGGTAAAATATAGATTTGGACCCAATAAATAGCTTTGGTAGTGGTAGAAGGTGGCAAGAATTCTATTTATTTCTAATGAATAACCAGGTGATATTGATATTACTAAGCCATGAGGCAGCCATGGAAGAGTGGGCTGTAAACCAGTGAATACTCTAAAGAGTATCTTTAACAGACAAGAAGGAAATAAAAATTGTAAATACTGCCATACCTCAAGTTGATAGCAAAAAACACAAGATAGTAATACCTAAGAAACTCTCAAGGAAAATAACATTGTTTGTATACCAAACAATATTTTAGAGTTATATTTCTTCTCTCTCATTCCGTCACTTTCCCAGTGGGTTACGGTAGAAACACTGAAAAGGTTAAGCACACAAAGAAGAAAACAGGAAAATGCAGAAGAATAAAAAAAATTAACAAATTTCATCTGTAATTAGAAAGGAATTAAGTTGCTTACGGAAATTATTTCCAATTTGTTTGACAAATTAAAAATAATTCTTAATATGTATACATAAATTTTGTTGTTTGTATGGTGCATTTATAAATAATGTGTTATTAGAAAAGAAAAGATGGAGCCAACATGTGTTAATGCCCTGACAAATGTTCTGGGTACAGTACAAATAATTGTTTCATTAGGGGGAAAATCACAAAAAGTAGGAAAGACTGAACATTAAAGATTCTTTAGCATCCAAGGAAGCTAAGTAAATGTTTATTTTAGAAAGATTCACAGCTCTGACCAGTACTACCCAGAGACTAATTAATTAGTCGGCACAGCAGGCCCAATTAAAATCTCTCAAGACAGTGATTCTATAGATAAGGTTTCATTATCAAGTACTAACTATGTACAAATGTTAAAAGAGACTAGAAAAGAAAGACCTCACTCCTGCCCTTAAATCTAGTAAAAACAATGCGATGTCACTCCTAAATATTAAATCTGTCATACTTCTATTAGCTGAAAATTTGGCCTTGTGCTTGTGATTTTTTTTTTCTTTCTACCTCCTAGAGTTCTGCCAACAGTGGGTGTCTTCTTTGAGTCCTAATATAATACACTTTGAGGATAAGGGGAGTAAGGAGATTAGAGTAGGAAATTCTTCAATTGTCTCAATCTACCTGGTTTATGAGCTATTTCAAACACAGCAAGACTCTGCGGATGTGATATTGTTGAATAGGCTGAGACTGTGTGTATTCACAGAGACTATCACCTGAGCTGAATATTTAGTGATAAAAACTGTTATCACAGAAAATTACAGGAAAGGTAGAGACAATGGATAGAATCTGAATACTCCGTGCTTTAATTTGGTTTAATTGGATTTGGAACATTTGGTCTGGAGGCGTTCTTGGTAATTTCTGTGTAAAGAAATTGGCCTGATGGGGGATAGCGTGGGGAAAGAAGGAGCAAGTGTAAAGTTTAAGGAGAGGGAAAAATAGGCCCTGATGATCTCTTGATAGTGCTAAGTCCGTCTATTCATTAATAGGCTCATCTGTGTTCTCCCCAGTTGTGAAGACTTCCTCTTCCATCTTCAAAAGAGGGAAATTCTCAGGAATCTAATGCACCTGAAAAGCCAAGAAACAAGTGGTATCCTCCTCAGAGCCCAAAATATTATTCCTATTGTACCAAACAAGCTCAAGTAACAGATCAAAATATTGCCAAGGTGTGAAGATTTGACGGTTAAATCACTAGTACTTCGCTTGTAGTCACATACACTCTAGCAGTGATCCCAAGGTGCCTGGTGAAGAGAGGTTGGGTTCCATCTGAGCATGTCTTCATGGGTAAGAGACCTAATCACGTCCCTCCAGCACAGACAGGTATCATAGAAATTGCACAGAGTTTTGATCCAAACACTGCACAGCCCTGAGGTAGTGACAGTCTTCTGGCTAGGGTTTTTACTTTCTTACCTTGGTTTGACTATGGTATGTCTTAGTGTGGATCTCTTTGTCTTTATCCAACTTGGGATACTTTTTGCATTCTGGGAATGAAGATAAATGGTTTCATCAATTTAGAGAAATTCCCCATTTCTTGAAATTATTTTCTCTTTTTTCTTGTCTTTTTTTTCTTTTGATCCAATTACATGCTCACTGATACTCTTTTTAGCATATTTCATGTCTTTCAAGCTCTGTTCATCTCAACTGTTCTTTGTTTTGCAAACTAAAAATTTCTTAACCTAGCCTCAACTTCGCTGATTCTACTTTTAACTCAAATCCATTCATCTCTCATGAATTGTATTATTTCAGTTATTTTTGTTTTTCAAATCCAGAATTTTCATTCAGTTCTTTTTGTAATTTGTTTCCTTATTGGAAAAAAACAACTATTTTAATTTATGCTTTCATTTTATTCTTTAACCCATGGTTTAGTTATTAAAATATACCTGGGCTAGCTACTTTGAAATATGTGTCTAGTAACTCCAGTATTTGAAATACCTAGGAGTGGGGCATCATGGCACATGCCTGTAATCCCAGCACTTGGGAGGCTGAGGCAGGAGGATAGCTGTGACTTCAAGACCAGCCTGGGCTACATAGTGAGTTCCAGATCAGTCTCAACTACGTAGTGAGACCCTGTCTCAAAAAACCCAAAGAAAGAAAAAGAAAAGGAACTACTTAGGAACAGTTGCTATTGAGTATGCAGACTACTTTTGTTACCCTGAAGGTGCTACACACATTGTGGCTGCATGACTCATAACTCTTTGTTGAAAACTCAACTTTTTGATAATAGGTCATACTAAATCTTGATTCTGATTCTCCACCTTTCTCCAAAGGTTGTTATAACTGTTGGTGTTAGTTTTTTTGTTACTGTATCCAACTATCTAGTTTAAAAAAAAAAAACACAGCAAAGATTTATTTTGGCTCAGTTTCAGAGGTTTTAGTCCATGATTGGCAGGCTCTATTGTTTCTGGCTCTGTGGTGGGTGAGTTCCTCTGTCATGGTTGGAAGGTATAATGAAGCAAAGCTGCTTCTGATGCGGCAGCCAGGAAGCAAAGTGGGAAAGACCCAGAGAGATCCACACCCCCACGGCCAGCATCCTGAGCGAGGAC